TGGAAAGAATCACGTTAACGACCTCCCTGGATGGAAAGAATCACATTAACGACCTCCCTGGATGGAAAGAATCACATTAACGACCTCCCTGGATGGAAAGAATCACATTAACGACCTCCCTGGATGGAAAGAATTACATTAACGACCTCCCTGGATGGAAAGAATCACGTTAACGACCTCCCTGGATGGAAAGAATTACATTAACGACCTCCCTGGATGGAAAGAATTACATTAACGACCTCTCTGTATTCAACTCGTTAAATTAACAACCCCTTTCGATAAAACAAATAACCCGGCGCTCCAGTGTAGTCCACAACGCGTTGGACGTCGGGTGACAAGTCCCATGCGTGTCCGGTCTCGGGTTCGAGCCGGGGGATGGCAAAAAAGCCGCATACTCCCCAGATTAACGGTCTACCTGGCACCGAGGCTGACGGGCCTCGAAGCTCACGACACTGAGCCAGATGAGCTATGCTCAAGTGCTTCTGGTGCAGGGGGAAAAAACGGCTGATGCGGACAGGAGAAGACTTACATTACACATGCCAGGTCATCCTATGTGTACCTATTCTCTCTCCCTCTCTGCTTTCCTCTCTGGCTCCGCTCTCTCTCTCTCTCTCTCTCTCTCTCTCTCTCTCTCTCTCTCTCTCTCCCACCCCTTCTTGCATTACACACGCTAGGTCATCCGATGTGTACATATTTCCTTTCTCTCTTTCCTCCCTCTTCTCTATCCTTACTCCCATCTTCCTTTCTGACATAGCATACGCTAGATCATCTGGTGTGCGCCTATTTCTCTCTCTCTCTCTCTCTCTCTCTCTCCTCCCCCTTCTCCCCTTCTTTCTTTACAGACTCCGGGTCCCTTAGATGTGCGCCTAGTCGCCCTGTCTCTCTCTCAACTCCCCTCCCCACTCACCCATTACGTTCCCCTAAAAGAATGCCACTGGCGAGACATCAACGTGGCTACTACGGAATGCATCAGTTAAGTGATTTTCTGTATTCGTGTGGTGTTGTTTGATTTATATAATGTGCCGATGAAGGCGTCTGTAGCCGCAGCGTTCACTTTCCGTTCGTGTTCGACATATTGTGAAGCTTGCTGGTCTACTTTTCTCTCAATGTTTTTACCTTCCCCTAAGAACACGGCGTCCTCTGGCCCTGAAAGACTGTAGACGGTGGTTCTTCAACACGATAGTTGCCGACTGTCGTGCTCCCCACCATCTGGATCTCTTATGTATCCGCTTCCTGCGGTAATTCTCGATTCCTGTCATCCACATGATGGGAGGCTCATCAATTATCAGCCGTCATAAATCAGCCATCATTAGACGGTGTATCCCCGCAGATAAACCATAAGTTCTGTCGGTGTCAGGCTTGTGCACGCTCGCCGTTTAATCGTTTCATACGAACGTACGTCTGTACTGTAAACATTAGTTGTTTTCGGTTAGCGTTCTTTGTTTATAAATGCACTCAGCCACCCCAAACATTAGGCTGGGGGTCCGAGACAAGAGGAACATTTGGGGCCCCCTTTACCCCCTTATACATGTTCTGGTGATGATTTATGCGGCACAGGCCATGTAAAAGTGCTCAATAATAATAATATGCTGAATGGTAAATACAAATGATATATATATATATATATATCATCATCATCATATAACAGGTCCTTTGCAGAACTTTGCTTTCATTGCAGTCAGTCTGCCTGAAAGAAACTTGGTCTCTCACCAGTTCTTCTGCCTCATGCACTTTCACACTTAAATCCTGTGCCCATCTTTGTGTCGGTCGGCCCCTGCCCCTCCTTCCTGGTACCATGCCTTCTATAATTTTTTCCAATCCATCGTGGCGCTTGATATGACCAAAATATTTAAGCTTTCGAGAAAGGATGCTGTTTATTAGCCAATCTTCCTTGATGTTCAGATCTTTCAAAATGTCAGTATTTCTCATCTTTTTTGTCTTTATATATATATATATATATATATATATATATATATATATATATATATATATATATATATATATATATATATATATATATATATATATATATATATATATATATATATATATATATATATATATAAACCACTTAGGGTAAAATTGCATTGAAAAGTCACAGACAGAAAATGTTGGGGTTAGTTCCCTATTTTGACCCAACACAGCTGATATTACCCAATCTTTTATCACTCGCATTTGACAACTTGCTGGCTAAGGAGCAGTTGGCCAGTTCCCAAAATAGAGGCCAGAAATGTCCTTCGGCAGAGCTTCCTAACTGCTGTTATGTTTTTTCAATATTGTTTGGGGTCACTGGGACTGTTTCTGCTTTGCAGCTTGGGCAGAGCCATATATCAATGTAACTGCTCTTTGTCAAGGAACCTTGACAGTATGTCAGCATAACATTAATTTTTAGATCATTAAACACAAAAAAGTTTATTACTGTGTACTCTTCAAGGCCAGAATGACACCACCTGCGTTCCACGCCTGTTCATTAATTTATGACATGTCACAGGCCGCTGTGAGCCCCATTGTGGGGAAAAACAAGAACAGACACAGTGCCTGCTCAAAGCAGGTAAAATTAGACTAATTAGGAGTTTCCTTTCGGAGTCAGAGTACATCTGCCTGTGAGGCAAGGAACCAACAGATGAGTCAGACATGTGAAATGGATGTGCACACAACAGTCAGTTTCTGGAACAGGACTAGAGTCCAGAAGTGGATGAACAACCTGAACTTTCAGACGGAGTTTACAGCCTGTGAATGCTAAGAAGGAGATAACACTGGATCTTCTGGCAAAGCTCCTAGCACATCTCATCTCCTTTGTTAGGGTGTTTTGTTGACTAGAGGATGTCAAAGGAAAAACACCAGCAGAGCTACAGTGGTGATCTTTAGGGACCACCAAGAGACTTGCAAAACAAAGGGCAGAGACTGAAACAGAACTAAAGACCTTTAATGTGCCATGGAGACAGCTCATCCATCTGGCATCAAAGTATTTGGATAGAGGGCCGGACACAGATTCAATTGTAAAGAACACTAAACAATACTGCAGGGCACAGTAGAGGGAAAGAGGAGAAGAGCCAGACCAAGAAAGACCTGGTTACAGAACCTGACTGACTGGACAGGCCTCAGGCATGCAGCCATGAAGTCCATCGTAACTGACCGCCAAAGGTGGCTAGAGATTCAGACAGTCAACAGAGCCTGTGCACTGTGCTGAGATTCTTCAGACTCAGTCTTAAGTTAGAAGAAAGAACGGAGCACTTATGGGTACTACCCGTGTGCCATGATGTTGATCCATTGTTAAAACTTCAAACTGTCAACAGAAACTAGTGATCCAATGACGCATAGTGTCACAGAATGCTGATGTTAATTAAAAGGGGTTGAAGGATGAGACAATTGATTTTGCTGTCCTGGAGTTTGATCCCACCTGGCTGGTGATGTCACACAAACTGCAAAACTCCATAGCTCTAGTGATGTTCATCAGTGATCACCAAAGTATCTGCATTTGTGAACTAAAGAACACAGCCTGAAATAGAACCAACAGCCTAAAGAGTACCAGGCAAACAGTTTAGCCAAGAAGTTTCTGAGGCCCTAATAAAGCATATTGTACTTTCACCATGGACTGTGGGACTAGTACTTTCACCATGGACTGTGGGGTTAGTACTTTCACCATGGACTGTGGGGCTAGTACTTTCACCATGGACTGTGGGGCTAGTACTTTCGCCATGGACTGTGGGGCTAGTACTTTCGCCATGGACTGTGGGGCTAGTACTTTCACCATGGACTGTGGGGCTAGTACTTTCGCCATGGACTGTGGGGCTAGTACTTTCACTACAGACTGGGGCTAGTACTTTCGCCATGGACTGTGGGGCTAGTACTTTCACTACAGACTGGGGCTAGTACTTTTGCCATGGACTGTGGGGCTAGTACTTTCACTACAGACTGGGGCTAGTACTTTCACCATGGACTGTGGGGCTAGTACTTTTGCCATTTACTGTGGGGCTAGTACTTTCACTACAGACTGGGGCTAGTACTTTCACCATGGACTGTGGGGCTTGTACTTTCACTACAGACTGGGGCTAGTACTTTCACCATGGACTGTGGGGCTAGTACTTTCACTACAGACTAGGGCTAGTACTTTCGCCATGGACTGTGGGGCTAGTACTTTCACTACAGACTGGGGCTAGTACTTTCACCATGGACTGTGGGGCTAGTACTTTCACTACAGACTGGGGCTAGTACTTTCGCCATGGACTGTGGGGCTAGTACTTTCACTACAGACTGGGGCTAGTACTTTCACCATGGACTGTGGGGCTAGTACTTTCGCCATGGACTGTGGGGCTAGTACTTTCACTACAGACTGGGGCTAGTACTTTCACCATGGACTGGGGCTAGTACTTTCGCCATGGACTGTGGGGCTAGTACTTTCACCATGGACTGTGGGGCTAGTACTTTCACCATGGACTGGGGCTAGTACTTTCACCATGGACTGTGGGGCTAGTACTTTTACCATGGACTGTGGGGCTAGTACTTTCACCATGGACTGTGGGGCTAGTACTTTCGCCATGGACTGTGGGGCTAGTACTTTCACCATGGACTGTGGGGCTAGTACTTTCACCATGGACTGTGGGGCTAGTACTTTCACCATGGACTGTGGGGCTAGTACTTTCTCCATGGACTGTGGGGCTAGTACTTTCACCATGGACTGTGGGGCTAGTACTTTCACCATGGACTGTGGGGCTAGTACTTTCACCATGGACTGTGGGGCTAGTACTTTCACCATGGACTGTGGGGCTAGTACTTTCACCATGGACTGTGCAGGTTGGGATTTAATATTTCCCCCGGACAGAAAAAAAAAATCTATGGCTTTACCAGTGATTTGAACCTCGGTCTCTTCCAGGAGAGCCCAGCATTCTTAACTGTTCAACCAGCTGGCCCCCACTGGCTAGCCTGATGTATTACTGTGTAACAAAGGAGCCCTTTGCCTTTTTTTTCAAAATTCAACTTTTACATTTTGTTTCTTTCAGGTCTGATGAAATGGAGATAGTCATGGCAGACCTGGAGCGAGCCAACGAGGTGAATATATTTGTTGTTGCTGCATCAGCTACAGCCAGCCTCTGTTGATACAACTGTCTCAGAATGTAGTTATACCTCTCAAGCCATATCTGCTTCTGTATATACTGTAGCAGTAATATTTGCTAATTGTTGCCTATTGCAGTTAGCTAAAGGTATTCCAACATGTCTGGGAAGCCGCGTTAGCCAGTCTACAGGAGGCTCACTTTCAAATCCAGCTGCGACTCGCTGCAGCCACAGTTCGTGTTCGAAACCGGGCGGTTCCTGGAATTCACCCAGCTTCTAGGAAATGGGTACCAGAATTGACACTCTGGGGTAAATGGAGGAACGTCACTGTAGCTACAGAGTTGCGTGCGGATGGCGACACAGGTGGACAGTTTCTTATCAGCTGTCCGTACTGGTGGCAGAGCACTTATGGTTTATAACCGTGTGCAATGACGCTGGTTCACATCTCCCGATTTTACTTTTTTATTCAGTAATGAATTTAAGTAGAAAGACAAGTAAATAGAAGACCCCTTTTATTCCATTTTTTATGTAATCACTGTTATTTGTGACAGGTTGGGAAATACTTTAACAGAATCTAGACAAATTCTAGGAAGATGGCAGGAATACTGCAGCGGAATGTATGATATGAATGACAGTGAGGATATGAATGATATACATGAACCAGTAACAGTAGAGGCAGAACCTGAACCTTCATTAGATGAAATTTCATGGGCAATAAGGAGCCTGAAAAATGGTAAATCACCTGGATGTGATGAGATACCAGCTGAATTGATTAAAGCGGGAGGAGAAGAAAGCATAAAAATCTATCATGCATTATGTGAAAAGATATGGAAATATGGTATTTGGCCAAAAGACTGGAAGAGAACTATCTTCATTCCAATACCAAAAAAGGGTGACCTGAAATTATGTACAAACTATCGAACTATTGCCCTGATCAGTCATGCAAGTAAAATTCTACTAAAAATTATAATTAGAAGACTGCATAAGAAAATGGAAGAAGAGATTAATGTAGCTCAGGCTGGATTTAGACAGGGAGATCATATATTCAACATGCGTTTAATAATAGAGAAGTGTAGAGAATTTAATGTAAATCTGTTCTTATGTTTTGTGGATTATTCAAAAGCATTTGACTGTACAACATCAGAAGCTTTGGGAAATCATGAGGAATATGGGCTTTCCTTCACATATAGTGCAGCTCATTAAAATGCTCTATCAAGACCAACAAGCAGCAGTCAGAATAGATGGAGAGACATCAGACTGGTTTGGCATCAAGCAAGGAGTCCGTCAGGGATGTGTGCTGTCACCGTATTTGTTCAACCTGTACGCCGAAAATATAATGAGAAATGTAAGAGATGATATAAACAAGGAACAATATGATGCCCTAAACATCGGTGGTCATGAAATACCAGAAATTCGTTATGCTGATGATACAGTATTACTATCAACATCACAAGATGGTTTAGAAAACTTATTAACCTCACTCCAAAGAAATAGTGAAAATCATAACTTATTTCTTAACATAGCAAAAACAAAGATAATGCATACAAACAAAACTGCCATGGAGAAGGAAATATATGTTAATGAGGAAAGATTGGAAGTGGTGGAAAATTTCGAATATCTTGGGTCACTGGTTACCAACAATGGTGACACAATGAAAGAAATTAAACGGCGACTATCAATTGCTCTTCAAAGACTAAAACAACTGAATAAATTATGGAATTGTACAGATAGAATTACAAAGGTCAGATTTTTAAGAGCATGCATCTTTCCCATTGCAACATACGCCTGTGAGACCTGGACACTTACTAAACAAGCGGAACAGCGCATAAATGCATTTGAATATAAATGTTACAGACAGGTTCTAAGAATATCTTGGGTAAAGAAAAGAACAAATGCATCCATACTTCAAGAGCTGAATATTGAAGAGGGTTGGCTAGTAAAGACAATAAAACAAAGAAAATTGAAATATTTTGGTCACTTGAAACGTCATGGAAGTCTAGAGAGAACAATAATGGAGGGGTATATGCCTGGGAAGAGAGGAAGAGGAAGGCCAAGGAGAAGATGGGTGCAGGATGTGGCAGATGATCTCCAGATGGGTGTATCAGATGCAGGACATCTTGCTCAGGATAGGAAGGTTTTCCGGAGGGTTGTTATGGCAGCGAGGTTCCGCGAGGGACATGCTACTGAATGAATGAATGTAATCACAGTCCTTACTGCATACAGTTGTACGAGAGTGGGTATGCCACATTAAAGGGTAGCAGAGACGTGACAAATGATACAGGCCTGGGGTGGAAATGATTTATGAGAGGGAGAGAAGAAACAAGGAGATCATGGGGCATTTAGGTGACACGTCGAGGAGAAGAACTGAAACTTGTTAAGGTGGCAGTTGACTGTATGGCCAAAGAGGCAACAAAATATTAAGCAACCATAAGACTTTTGAGGAGTAACCCAAATGTATTTAAAAGAGAACACAGCATAAGTCAACCATTAGGAGGAAGATATCTTTACTTCATATTAGAAGTGTGAAACAAATGCCCCAGATGTTTAATAATTTACAAGCTATGCCCCAGACAAGTGATAATTTACAAGCTATGCCCCAGACAAGTGATAATTTACAAGCTATGCCCCAGACAAGTGATAATTTACAAGCTATGCCCCAGACAAGTGATAATTTACAAGCTATGCCCCAGACAAGTGATAATTTACAAGCTATGCCCCAGACAAGTGATAATTTACAAGCTATGCCCCAGAGAAGTGATAATTTACAAGCTATGCCCCAGACAAGTGATAATTTACAAGCTATGCCCCAGATAAGTGATAATTTACAAGCTATGCCTCAGTTAAGTGGTAATTGTTCAGCTGTGCCCCAGACAAGTGACAATTGTTCAGCTATGTCCCAAATCATTTACAAACCATGAGCCATCCAAAGGCGACTGGCATGATGCTGGCCACAGAGCACCAACTGGTCTGTAAAGTATAGGTCTAGCCCTATATGCCCAATACACCTAAGGCATGGGCAAGGGTCCTTTACTTTACGTTTATATCCCAGATAATTGATAATTTACAAACTCGCAGATAATTTAGAAGCTGTGCCTGTGGCTAAATGCATGCCTGTGCAAGCTAGTTAGTTATATAATTAGCCAGCCATGTCCCTTATTGTTGACACACATTTTTGTTGCAGCGCGCAGCCAGTGCGGAGCGGCAGGTGGAGCGCTTAAAGCAGCAGCTGGCTATGGCAACAGAAAACCTGAGCCAGCAAAGCCAGGAGGACCTTGCCCAGCACACCACAGCCTCAGACCAGGCCATGGACATCCTCAAGAGGTCTACTCTAGAGGTGGAACTGGCTACCAAAGAAAAAGAGGTATGGGTAGTTTTTGGATGGCTGGATTGTATGTGGTACAGCAGGACTGTTTAACTGGTGGCCCCCGGAGGCCTAGTAAGTGGCGCACTGATCATTGCCAGTTGAGTTGTACTGTAATACTGATCTTTCTGTGTTGAAGATGGGCCTCTCACCCGTGACCATCGCCATTTTCAAAAATTTGGCCCACTCAATAAACTTAGTTTAAAAGTCCTGCAGTACATACAGCCTGGCATATAGTTATAACTGATTTATAGGTCATGCTTTGACAAATAGAAACTGGCATCCTGCGAATAGAGTACCTGGCATCATAAGATTAGCCTCAGATTAGGAGCAAATCATGGATTTTTGGCCCAAGATATTCCGGTGTGCGGGGTCATGAAATGAATGATAGGTTAGCGATGCTGTGGATGGTGAGCTACTTTTTTTTTTTTTAAAGTGTTTTTGTTATGGTAGATGTGAGGAAAACTTCCTGGGATTAAGTGGACAGAGCTGATGAACAGAACATATGTACCTAGAGAGGCACAATCATTGGTGAGAAAGAGAGAGGGAGCAGAAGGTCTGAACAACAGGAAATACACGGGGGGGGGGGGGGGGAAATGCACGGACTTGTACATTTTTCAGGACAGCATTTTTTTCTAGGGTTGAGTTGAGTTGAGTCAAGAATTGACATCACAGCACTCGGGGCATTTCCATGTATGCTCCGTCCTCATCTTCAGCAACCAGCACAGAGTTCCAATACTGATGGTACTGGTTACAATCTGGTTAAAAGTCCGTCTTGCCTTTACTCTGAGTGTAGTGAGCCGTCCAGACCCTCTGGGGTTTGGGCAGCATTTAATTTTGAGCTCAATTGTTTTACTGCACCATGGCAAAGCCGAAACCTTATTATTGGTTGTATAGTGACATTTAAAAACATATTCTAATGTCAAATCAGTACTTTTGTTTGGGGTAGAAACATGGAGAACAACTAAGGCAATTACTAATAAACTACAGACAATCATTAACTAGTACCTGCGCAGAATAGAGGGAATTAAATGGTATTATATAATCACTAATGTAGAGCTTTGGGAGAGAACTAAGCAAACTCCAGTGGACCAAGAGGTGAAGAAAAGACAATAGCATTGGATTAGATACACATTGAGAAAACCATACAACAGTATAACTAGAATGTCTTTGCATTGGAACCCACAGGGGCATAGGAATAAAGGAAGGCCAAAAAACATGGAGAAGGGAGCTGGAAAATGAAGTTAGGAAGATGGGGAGAACATGAGGAGAGCTGCATGCGATAGCAAACGATAGAACCACTTAGCCTGAGTTGGTTGAGGGCCTAGGCTCCATTGGGGGCTAGGAAAGCAGAAGAAGAAGAAGTGACATAATATACCAAATTAAAGGGGAGTGGATACACAAAACATCTAAACTATTTATGAATCGGTATTGCCACAAAAAGGTTTTACAGTAACACAATTAAATGATATTAGACAACACATTACAATTTTTACTCATGAATTATTGCGTTTACCTGACTTTTTTTTTGGTTTTTCAACTTGATCGACACTTTTAAAGAATTCATGTGCATTCTGTATTTAGTTACAGACAGTCTTTATTTGAGACAACTAATCTCAATACTTTGGATTTTTGCGTCACATGTGAAATTTCACAACAACCAAATTCCAGACATAGCTGATCGAAACAGGGATGATCCGATAGCGCAATATAGCACTGTTGTCTGGAAAGAAGAAAAGTGCAAATCAAGCCTGGGTACATTAACGAAAGCCCGTAGAGGCTTATCTGCAATTAGGGTCCTGGCCAGCACAAGCATCAAGTAGAGACTGTTTCTGCTGCTGTTCCAGGGACTGGCTCTTTCTCCAGTCGAATATACGTTAGCCATACTTACAGTCAGCGATACTCAGATTGAAAGACTGGAAAAGGTGCAAAATGAAGCCATGCGCATTATCCTGGGGTGCACAAGAGATACCTCTTGCGTAGCAATGGGATATCTTCTTGACTTTCTGACAGTGCACCATAGGATGAAGATCTGGAGGACTCGCGCATACCTGAAGATAAGCTCGGATTTGAAGCACCTCTGCACTATGTTCTTTTTAGGAAAAAGGGGCAACAGGCTAAAGAGGGGCCAGATCATGGCTGGGTAGGGCAGAGGACAAATGCAAGTCTTCAGTCTTACAGACATTAACCTCGGCCAAGAATGGATACCTGTGCCTCAGGTGTTCAACTGCACCTTTTCCTGTGTTGTTCACGAGCTTGATAGGAGCTGTCAGGAGCAGAATCCAGTTGCTGTGAATGCAGATGTCCACGAGCTTGTATGTGAAAATTCAGATGAGGTGGATGTGGATGTACTGATCTACACAAGGACAAAAAGTGCATGGGCATTTACTGCATGCTCTACAGGCAGAACAGTCCAGGAGGCCAGTGGTGCCTTCTGTATGACCACTAGGAGCAAGACAATGGAGGTGATGGCGGTAACACAAGCTTTCATGTGGCTAGCATCGCAGGGCTATTCTCATGTGAGTGTGCTGAGTGATTCCATGAGCATGATCCCGCGGGTCGATGCGGACTTTGTATGCGGACAGTGTGTGGAGTTACCTTCATCTGGGTATGCAGGTGTTGTTGGCAATAAAAAAGCCGACAGATTAGCCGGCTCTGCATTAGTTACGGAGGGCTGGCCCATGGATCATGCAGACATTGTTAATGCCATTAGAAATGTAGGACGTTCGGAGGATTTTGGAAGCAGCACTTCCACATCTTTGCTAAGAGTGCAAGAATTGGGAGTAAAGATTGGCACAGCCAAGTACAAGAAGCACACCGCACGCTCAAGAAGTCTTGGCAACCAACATAGGACTGAGACTATCAGCCACAAGATGCAGATGTAAATGTTGAAGGGGGAATCTGATCATCTGTGGACGTGTCTGGAGTGCGATGAATATAAACCAAATCGTTACTCATAACTGGGTCAGTTACAAGGAAGCAGATTGGAACCATCAGTGTAACTGTTACCTGTTCTGCATTTGCATCTTTTGTTAGAAAATTGACTTTTCATGCTGCCCATAAGGATAGCTTTCATGTCTACTTCCTTGCCCTTGTTGAGTGTAGTTGTTCATATCATGTTCTCGGCTGTATTGATTTCTCTGATTAATTTTTGATCATCCGCATCTCAACATCAGTTTCTGATAAATTGAGTAGCTTTTTATTTTTCAAGTGATCATCGATTATTGCTAATCAATCTTGGGGGACATTTTCCCTGCACCCGCAGCAGAACAATGAGATCCAAGGGTGCTGCTGGAAGCTTTTGTCGATCTGCTTAGTGGCTACAGTTCCTGTTGTTAATCATCTTTGATATGTCATCAGTCATCTTTTCTTGTGCTTGTTGTTAACATGTGTATTCACTGAGGATGATTGATCCAGTTGATTAAACCTGGCTGGGCAGTGAACTGATCGGATAGTCAATACTTTTTTCTCTCTTTGTTTTCCACCTTCTTCTCCCTTCTCCATCTTCTTCTTGTTCTTGTTCTTCTTCCTCCTCCTGCTTGTCCTCCACCTCCTGCTGCTTGTCCTCCACCTCCTGCTGCTTGTCCTCCACCTCCTGCTGCTTGTCCTCCACCTCCTGCTGCTTGTCCTCCACCTCCTGCTGCTTGTCCTCCACCTCCTGCTGCTTGTCCTCCACCTCCTGCTGCTTGTCCTCCACCTCCTCTGACTACAACATCCTGCTTTTTTAAAACTCCTTATCCCTCTACTCCTGGCTTTTTCATCTTCTCCTTCTCCCATCTTCTCCTTCCCCCATCTTCTCCTTATCCTTCAGCTTTCTCCCTTTTCAACTGCTCTGAAACAAAAGAAGATAGTTTTGATTTTTGACAGCACATTAGCATGAAGCTGAGAGAGATTGAGAGAGAGAGAGAGAGAGAGAGAGATTGAGAGAGAGAGAGAGAGAGAGAGAACAGTTCTGTAGATAGAGACCCAGTCATATGTAATAAAACCCTGTGCAGTGGAGTTAGTCCTTCTGACTCCCAAATGCTGACAGTGATTGTAGCTTTGACTGATCTTCCTGTCTTCAGATTGCTCAGCTTGTGGAAGACGTTCAGAGACTACAGGCCTCCCTCAGCAAGCTCAGGGAAACAACATCAGCACAGGTTTAGTACTTGGTTATTTCATTAATGTTTGAGATATCTCATTATCTTGTTGTCCACATGCAGTTTGATTTACTTGTAGGTTTTGTTAAAAGGGTTTTGCTTTTTTTTTTCTGTTGTTCTGCTGTTTGCTTTAGTGATTTTTTTTTTTTTTTTAAGTTACCGGGGACAGAAGGAGTTGAGAACTACAGAAATAACTGATGTGATGAATAGTTGGGGAGATGGGAACTACAGAAATAACTGATGTGATGAATAGTTGGGGAGATGGGAACTACAGAAATAACTGATGTGATGAATAGTTGGGGAGATGGGAACTACAGAAATAACTGATGTGATGAATAGTTGGGGAGATGGGAACTACAGAAATAACTGATGTGATGAATAGTTGGGGAGATGGGAACTACAGAAATAACTAATGTGATGAATAGTTGGGGAGATGGGAACTACAGAAATAACTGATGTGATGAATAGTTGGGGAGATGGGAACTACAGAAATAACTGATATGATGAATAGTTGGGGAGATGGGAACAACATAAGTAGCCTTGACATGAAGGAGCAATGGAGTCTTTATTTGGAGATGTGGCTATACACATAAATATATAAACTTTGAATATCTAGGCTCTATAATAAATAGCAGTGGAGACTGTTTAACAGAAATTAAAAGGAGGATGGCCATAGCAATGCAAAGATTCAACAGCCTAAAAAATCTCTGGTTAAGCACCAGCAAGGAGATCAGAGTTAGAATTCTGAGAGCATGCATCTTCCCTGTAACAATATACGAATGTGAGCTGTGGATTATCTCTCAGTCCTTAAGAGCTGAAATGCTATAGAAAGATTCTCAGAATATCTTGGATGAAAAAGAGCAGAAATACTGACATCTTGAAAGATCTAAACAACAAGGAAGATTGGCTAATAAACAGCATCCTGTCTCGGAAGCTGAAATATTTTGGTCATATCAAGTGCCACGACGGATTGGAAAAATTATAGCAGAAGGCATGGTGCCAGGAAGGAGGGGCATGGGCCGACCAACACGAAGATGGGCACAGAATAAAAGTGACTTCTTGAGTTTGAAAGTGCATGAGGCGGGTGAAAGCGACGTTCTACAAAGCACCTGCTACATCATGATGATGGTTATACACAAGAATATTTCATGGAAATAAAAATGAAATAAATAGTGGACAGTTGAAATTGACAATTAAAACCATTCTGAACAGAATGGGAACAAACATATTTGTGGTGGATGTTTAAAATAAAAAAGAAAAAGAACTTTTTGGTCCACAATAAAAATCATTCTGAAGGGAAGGAAATGAGGACAAAGATAAGTGGGAAAATAACAGTTAAAGATTGATAAGCAGCACTCAGAGTGCACAACAAGAACAAAGATAAGTGGGAGAATAACAGTTAAAGATTGATAAGCAGCACTCAGAGAGAGTGCACAACAAGAACAAAGATAAGTGGGAGAATAACAGTTAAAGATTGATAAGCAGCACTCAGAGTGCACAACAAGGACAAAGATAAGTGGGAGAATAACAGTTAAAGATTGATAAGCAGCACTCAGAGAGAGTGCACAACAAGAACAAAGATAAGTGGGAGAATAACATTTAAAGATTGATAAGCAGCACTCAGAGAGAGTGTACAACAAGGACAAATATAAATGGGAGAATAACAGTTAAAGATTGATAAGCAGCACTCAGAGAGAGTGCACAACAAGGACAAATATAAGTGGGACAATAACAGTTAAAGATTGATAAGCAGCACTCAGAGAGAGTGCACAACAAGGACAAAGATAAGTGGGAGAATAACAGTTAAAGATTGATAAGCAGCACTCAGAGAGAGTGTACAACAAGGGCGAGAGACAACATGTTAGAGATCCATTGCCACCAACTTTGACTGTAGACACGGCCCTCATTGATTCATCCGTTATTAATAAATTTGTATTTAGTTTGAAAGAAAAGTAAAACCAGATTACCTTCCTCTACCTGTTCCAACTGTGTGCAGAAAATGTAATGAAAAATGTCAAAAGTAATGAAACCCGTGAAAATTTTCATCCATTGATTACCAGTGGATATGTAAATTCAGAACTCCAGTGTTCAGATGATCCTTTCAAACATCGCCAAGGAGGTAGTCAGGAAATTCTCTTTGTTGAAGGACACATCGAAGATCCCACTGGCAAAACAGCACATCAACCAAAAGTTACAGTCAGTAATACAGAAATCAAAAACATTTCAAACTGTGAATACCTTAGCCCCATGATTAACAACATGCAGGCTGTTACGAAAGCTAAAGGTCAAGAAATGGGCATTGCACTGGATTTTATCCCAAATGGCCCTGTCTATGCGCCTGCTGGGAGCATAGCACTAAGCAGAGACTCTGTGGCTCTTGCCATGATCCACAGGGGTTCCTGAATGACAGGTCCGTGAAAGGAATCCATTAACTTGTTTATTGTTTATTTCAAGATCATCCTCATTGCATGTCGAGTATCCGGAAAGACGGAAAGGTGCCAGCCAATTAATGACATAATGCATTGTACATACCACAGGTAGCCAGGCTGGAAGAAGAGCTCACCGCTAAGAATCTGGCTTTTCGGGCCTTGGAGGACAAACTGCGGACACAGGAGGACTATGAAGAGGTCAAGAGAGAATTACGGTAAGATATCTATACACGTATTGGTGTTACCTTACCTTAGGAGTAAATAAAGCTGGCTGAAGGAGGGGTGACGCTGCATAAGCAACACACGATACTGCTGCCCAGGCATTGTACTAAGGAGAGGAGGAGCTTTATCGCTGGCCTTAATTCTTTCCTGACCAAGCAGTCCATCATGTGTTAGTTGATTTATATTTACCCCCTAGTGCCATATCTAACCCAGTTAAGATCAACCATGATTGATGCTCTGATGAGGACAACAGACTGTGAGACTGGGAAAGAGTCACACCATGTTGCAACACTTGTGAGCTGCAGATGTGATTTATAAGCCTTTCTGCTGAGCCCAGTGTGGTTTGTGTTGTCAACTGAAGATTCAGAAAATTGCTAGTAGCCTGTTGCCAGGCAACTTATGTCCCCTTAAGCAGGTAATTACATTTGCAACTACTGATCTCTTGTAACTGCTGTTTACATCACTGATGAAACTCATTTCTAGTGCTTTGTGCATTTGCTGTGTGTATGTACTGTTGGCTTTGCTGAGACTGCAGTCTCAGGTTTTCCCACAGAGGACAACAATGGACATTCTGTGTCAGTTTTTCCACTAGGGACAATGGGCATTCTGTGTCAGGTTTTCCATAAGGGACAACAATGGACATTCTGTATCAGGTTTTCCACAAGGGACAACAATGGACATTATGTGTCAGGTTTTCCACAAGGGACAACAATGGACATTCTGTATCAGGTTTTCCACAAGGGACAACAATGGACATTCTGTATCAGGTTTGGACATTCTGTATCAGGTTTTCCACAAGGGACAACAATGGACATTGTATGTCAGGTTTTCCACAAGGGACAACAATGGACATTCTGTGTCATTTTTTTCCACAAGGGGCAGTGATGGACATTCTGTGTCAGATTTTCCACAAAGACAACAATGGACATTCTGTGTCAGGTTTTCTACAAGGGACAACAATGGACATTCTGTATCAAGTTTTCTTTAAGGGCCAACAATGGACATTCTGTGTCAGGTTTTCCACAAGGTCCAGTGATGTAATTTAGAAGCCAGATCTGGAGAATATCTACAGTTTTCAGGTGCAAACTATCTTCTGTTGGAAGAAAACTATTGCTTTCATATTGACTGTGCATAAATGATGCAACTACACTGTGGATAAAGTCTGTCAAGATATTACAGAGCTCTGGATAAGCAGATAAAAACAATATTTACTAACTAACCTCTCACAGCAAGTCACTCTTTGCCTCTTTACTAATTGTTGACTAACAGTGTAATTATATGTTGTAGCAGTACACTAATATTAATCCTCAACCATTTCTGCTCATTTCTGTGCACCTTCTTCTGCTTTGCGATCACTGGCTGTAAACTCTGGCAGAAACTTCTGGTTGTTCATCTACTTCTTATGCATATTTGCAGTTGTGTGGTCTGTGTACATTTTTGTGAATCATCTTCTGCTTAGCGATCACTGGCTGTAAACTCTGGCAGAAACTTCTGGTTGTTCATCTACTTCTGGACTTTAGTCTTGTTCCAGACAGTTTGTTGTACACACATATGTTATACAGATTTGAGTTATTGTATGCAGACTGCTGTTTCTTGCCTCTCAGACAAACACATTCCGACTCTGAAGGAAGCTACAATGAGTCGACTCTTACTACATGCTTGTTAAGAAAGCGGCAAATTTTTTTTTTTTTTTAACGAGACCCGGTATCTACATGGGGAATTCATGATACTTATACCTTTTGTTGTATGCAGTATTCAGAAATATGTGTGAAATATGTGTGATGTATTTTTAAACAGTTATCAAAAATTTCACAGTGATAAGAAACTGATTTCATCCAACAAGATGAAACTGGACAAATTTGTTTGTGCTGTCTGTACTTTGAGAATAAATATTTAGTAGTGCTGTAAGTACCGTTTAGAAAATTGCTCGGGGTGAAAAATTATTGCACATATCAATTTCATATTGACTGTGCTTGTTTAGTAATTATTAAATAACAGTATAATTATATGTTGCAGTAGTCTACTAATAGTAATAATAACTATCAATCATTTATGTTTATGTTATATATGATGTGTGTACATTTCACAGCAGTATTTTCATGTGTTAAATTTGATAAAGTACAAATGTAACAGACTGACTGGAAAACTAAACAGACAATACTTCAGAGCTACTAAACAATCAAGATTAACATCAAACCAAATTAACATCAAACCAAGAAATATCCAATGCAGGGAAAGTGTGTACTGAAAAAAGCCTTATTTTTGTATAAACAAAAACTGTCAACTTTTATGTCACCCGCATTGACAGAGTCCTGAAGTCCATAGAGTTTGCTAACGTCACCAGTGAGGAGGGGATCCCTGAGGAGAGCAAGTCCCTGGAGGTGCTGCTTCTGGAGAAGAACAAGTTCCTGCAGACAGAGAACACACACCTGAAAGTAGTAAACTCTGGCCTTACAGGTAGGTCCATGTGGGTAGTGCTTCCTGTGTGTCTGGCTTCTACTAGATCATTTGTTGTGTATGAGAAAACATGAGCATGCCTGACTTTGATTTATAGAGTGCAAGCAGAAATAAAAAATAAAAAGTAAAGTACATTGGTGTTTAAAATATTATCGAATGTAGGGTATGTTGTTTAAAAAAAATTGTGTAGCCTCGGGTATGTTGATATAAAAAAATTGAACAGCTAAAATGTTCATGCTAAAATTGGGTGGTCAGGAATGTGTTGATGTTAACATTTGATAGTCTGGGACGTATTGATTTTACAATTGGTAGTCTTGTGTATATGGATGTTAACATTTGGAAGTATGTTGATGTTGAAATTTGGGTTTAAAAAAAAGTAAAGATCCCTTTTCACGCCTTTCGGCACATCGGGCATATGGGCAGAGCATCCCATATTTTTACAGACCATCAGCACTCTGTGGGTAATGTGGTCAGCATTACGCCGGCTGTCATTACTTTCCCAGGACAGCCCAAGTCTGGTAGAAATTGAGTTAAACCTAGGGCCACATAATTTTTAAAGAAAGATAGGTTGTAAAGCTTTCTCTTTTAAAAGTATGTGATGTTTTTTTTTTTCAGTGTTAAAATGTGTGTTAGATCTAAGGTAGATTGTTTCACATTTGATAGTCCTCGGAGTATCTTGATATTGTAAAACTAAGTAGAATAATTTTTTGATGTTAAAAACTCAACAAGGCTTTCATTGTTTATGCTTTTCCTAGTGACGAGACAGCATAACTTTTCAGAGTTGATTTCTGTTTACATGGAAATACTGTCCCAAAGTTGATATTCTTTTTATGTTTGTTCACAGTTCTCTTTTCGCAGATCGGAAGCTAGACTTTAAGTTGTTTTTTTTTTTTTTTTTTTTTGCATTCAACTTCTTCTCTGCTGTGAATGTTGGTAGAATGTCATAGCATACCAGCCTTATAATCATTTGAATTCATAGAAATGTGAAATAGTGGTGACATGATTATCACAGCTGTTGACTCTAGTAGCCCAATTGCTCCCCACCCCCTCAACAAGTATGTTGTAAAAGTACTGATTAGGGATTTTTCTTGAAATCTGAGTGCATCTGTCCAAGAGGCAAGGAACCAACAGTTTGCAAACAAATAGGCTAGATGTGTAAAACAGATATGCACACAAAACAAGTTACGGAGTAACACATTAAGTCCAGAAATGGACGTATAACCGGAACTTTCCTCTTGAGTTAAAGCCCATAAATGCTGAGAAGAGGAAGAAGACTAAAGGATGTAATAGCTGTGCAGACATATACTCAAGCATGATGTATTTGGTCCACCACTTGGTGGTGATGTTTTAGTGGTAGTGTGGGGTTTATGGGTGCGTAGATCACTGGTTTGGAGCTGCTGTATTACTGCTCACCTGCCAACCTAAATGCCTAGAGTTCGCATCCATGCCATGCCAGTTTCTTCATAATTGACAATAGCTCCCATGTCGACCCAGCCTAAAAAAGTATCAGGTAGTGTCCTGGGAAGTAAAGGCGGCCATCGAGATGTTGATCACATCACCCATTAAAACCAACTGCTGTATGAAAATAGGATCTCACATGATTATGTCCGACGCAGTGCTGGCTAAAGATAGGGTCCTTTGTTTGACTTATGTTACAGACGACGCAGTGCTGGCTAAAGATAGGGTCCTTTGTTTGACTTACGTTACAGACGACGCAGTGCTGGCTAAAAATAGGGTCCTTTGTTTGACTTATGTTACAGACGAAAATAGCTGATAAGGGCTAGTCTTGGCACAAAATGTACCCGGGCAGCAGACTAGGGCTGCATCATTTGGGAGATTCAGGGGAGGCAGAGGGTGTTTTCTTGTTTCCCTAACAATGGCGCCCTCGAACACACATGGGAAGGCTAGTACTGGACAATATTATTTCACCGGGGCATGCCGGTGTGTTGGGGAATGAAGAGGCAGACAGACTGGCTGGCTCTGCACAACTTGGTGGAATACTGCTACATGATAGGGCAGACGTGGTTAGTGCCTTGTGGGAGAGCGTATACAGTTTGGAGGAGCAGATGGATCACCGCAGTCTGGTTAGATTGATGCAGCGGAGAGTGACGAGAGGTTCTGGCAGATGCTCGAGTCTCAGAGGAAAGGCAAGATGGATGTTTAATCAGAATGCTACTGGCACCATTAGTATCGGAACTCTTCGCTGGCTGCTAAAGATGAGGACGGAGCGCTTATGGAAATGCCCTAAGTGCTGCAATGTCAGTTCTTGAATAAAATCAAATGAAATCAGATCAATATTTTTGTAAACATTGTCTGTGGTCTGAAACGTTTAATCCTTTATGATATCAGTTATAAATAAACACCATCAATGCAGCAATCCGGACAGATCCATGGATACTTTGATGTCCTCAGTAGCTTCACAAGCATCCAATCACTGATCATGCCCGTTCTCTTCTTGTGAATCAGATCTCTTGTGCCTGTAGTGAAATGTTTATGTCTGGCTCCAGGTGGTTGCCTCATACTTACCGACAGGGATAGGGACTCATACTTATTGCTGTCCTAGATGGTTCCCTCATACTGACCAACCAGGACAGGGATAGGGACTCATACTCATTGCTGTCCTAGATGGTTCCCTCATACTGACCAACCTGGACAGGGATATTGACTCATACTCATTGCTGTCCTAGATGGTTCCCTCATACTGACCAACCTGGACAGGGATAGGGACTCATCCTCATTGCTGTCATCTTTTTTGCTATATTCATCTGACATTGGCATTGATGGCTTCTCTTTGTTTCTGTCTGTCTGTCTGTCTGTCTGTCTGTCTGTCTGTCTGTCTGTCTGTCTGTCTGTCTGTCTCTCTGTCTCTCTGTCTCTCTGTCTCTGTCTGTCTGTCTGTCTCTCTCTCTCTCTCTCTCTCTCTCTCTCTCTCTCTCTCTCTCTCTCTCTCTCTCTCTCTCTCTCTCTCTCTCTCTCTCTCTCTCTCTCTCTCTCTCACTCTCTCACTCTCTCTCTCTCTCTCACTCTCTCTCTCTCTTTTTCTCTTTCTCTTACTCTCTTTCTGTCTGTATCTCCCTCCCCTCACCCTCTACCATCTTTCTGTTCACTACTGTCTTCCTTTCCCTGTCTATTTCTACACTTCCCAGTCCTCTCTTACTCTTCCATTCTCCTTCTCTCACCCCCCCCCCCCCCTCAATCTGTCCCCTCTTTCTGTCTTACTGTCTACCCCATTGCTCTGTCTCTGAGCTTGTTTACTGTGATAATCTTTGTTTACTGTGATAATCTTTGTTTACTGTGATAATCTTTGTTTACTGTTTGTCTCTACTACTGTTGTGGTCTGTTTCTATTGCTGTTGTTATTTTGTAGCTGTTACTGTCTTGAACATTATGAAACATTTCTCTGGGCTCCAGTTAAAACCTGTTTCTTCTTCTGTGTTTGCCTTTGGTTGGCAGATGACACGTTGCTTTGTAGTTTACTGATTTGCTAATGTACTGATTAAGAGTCTACACCAGTACACACTGGGCATACCTATAGGTGCTCCGTCTCCTGCAGCACATGTCTTAAGGTGTAGATGCTAACTGCCCCTGTAGAACATTGATTATACACACATTCTTCTCTTCCTCACATACATCCCTGCTTGCAGATCACCACCTATTTCCTCGTTCTCACATTCTTACAAATATTATTTCATCTAACCTCGTTTCTTCTGTCAGCATTCTTCTTCTTCTTCTTCTTCTTCTTCTTCTTCTTCTGCTGCTGCTGCTGCTGCTGCTGCTGCTGCTGCTGCTGCTGCTGCTGCTGCTGCTGCTGCTGCTGCTTCTTCTTCTTCTTCTTAATGTTCACTGGCTGTAAACTCTGGCAAAAAGTGTTGGTTCATCCACTTCGGGACTCTAGTCCTGTTCTAGAACACATGTTGTATTCACAACATATTTGATTGTCCCATACACTTAATTAGTAACTCTTCACTTGACTACATGCTTACTAAGAATCTGTTCTCCCATCCACCCCCACCCACCTCACTATCTACCCATATAGCGAAAACACAGAATTAGTTGTTGTTTCTGTGACAAGTGTTTATTTAAATGTGTGAGTGAAAAATTTTGTTGGTGGAAGTCTCTTTTCTAGGGGCATTAGTGGAAATTCTGGTCTCGTGTATGTTTCTTGTTGAAGTTGTTTGAGGAATATAGCATGTGCTGGGTGTATATATATCTTATCTTAACATGTTTTTTTTGTTGTTGATCTGTGTGTGTGTTCTGTGAAATTATGTGTTTCTCTATGTCATGATGTTTTTATCTGTGTGTATATATATATATATATATATATATATATATATATATATAGAGAGAGAGAGAGAGAGAGAGAGAGAGAGGTAGATAGACTTTGATCTGTGCTAGTTACTGTTTTTTCCAGGTATATTATATTTATCTATATTACTTATCCATACTTTAGTTGTTCTTTGTGTTAAGCATCCCCCTTTACTCATAAATTTCTCATATTTCCTGTTGTTTATTGCTGTTTTTACTAATAAACGTTTTATGGTCCTAGTTAAGTTATTAGCCTTAACTCTTAAATGTCTTCCTGTTGAGTTACTCCCCTTTACTCATAAATTTCTCATGTTTACTGTTGAGTTACTCCCTTTTAGTCATAAATTTATCATGTTTACTGTTGAGTTACTCCCCTTTACTCATACATGTATCACATTTACTGTTGACTTACTCCCCTTTACTCGTACATTTATCACATTTACTTTTGAGCTACTCCCCTTTACTTGTAAATTTATCATGTTTACTGTTGAGTTACTCCCCTTTACTCATAAATTTATCACGTTTACTTTTGAGCTACTCCCCTTTACTTGTAAATTTATCATGTTTACTGTTGAGTTACTCCCCTTTACTCGTAAATTGATCACGTTTACTTTTGAGCTACTCCCCTTTACTTGTAAATTTATCATGTTTACTGTTGAGTTACTCCCCTTTACTCGTAAATTTATCACGTTTACTTCCCATTAGTCATAATTTTGCCATGTTCCCTGAAACTCATACTCCCATTGTTTATGTTAGCCATGCATTCCTTATATGTACCCAGTTACTTACCTTTGTTTTTTGTAAGTAACATGTGTAATATGTTACTCCTGTAATGTGTTACCCATCTTGTGCATCCCTATTTGCCCACCTACTCTGCCGCTGACTTATATATGTACATGATTGATGCTCCTTATATATTCCCACCTCTGCTGATAATTCCGTTTTGAACTTCACAGATTTATTTTTTTTTTTTTTTTTTTTGCTAGGTGTAGATTGATTGGCTTGTGTGCAGATGTAGTTAGTTACGTACACAGTGTATGTTAACGACCGACTGATTGACGGAAGGTGTAACATGTTTTGCTGCGTCCACCCATACTCTGAAGGACTTTTTGGTACTCTGCTGGTGCTGTGCCCATTAAGCTCCCACATTCTGTCGAATCTTGCTACTTTGTTTTTTGTTTTTTTGTGAAGCATTCCTTAGACAGTGAATGTCCCTATAAGTACGGTCAACTGTCTGACCCCTTTGCCTGTTCGTCCCCTTATTTAATGCTGCAGAAGGGTGTAAAACATATCTGCTCCCAGTTTTTTACAGAAAGAGGCAAAAATAGGTCAGTTTTATTTCTGTTGTTTTATCAGGATTCAAACAATAAAAATAAAATATTAAACACTGGCTTTTGGGAACAGAAACTAAATTTTTGTTTGTAAAATATTCTCTGTATGTTTTTTTGAGTTTGTGGAACTTTTATCACGTTGCATATTGTGTGCATGATCTGTCTTTTGCAGACCACATGGTCTTTGCAAGCCTGCATTGTTGTTATTCATTCTTATATGCTTTCCCTTCATGAACTCAGTTGTACAACTTACTATTTTGTTGTTGTTGTTTTTGTTTCTTTCAAGTGGAAAGTGTTTCTGAAATGTGTGGAATAATAATTTTATTACATTCTCGTTTTTTGTTATTAACAGTTTTCTGCATGACATTTTCAGCAAAACAATTTGTTTCCCTTTGTTTACAAGAGAAATATTTTTCTCATTCCTATATCAGTCCCATTTATGAGAATCTTTGTAAAAGGGGGCTAAGTCATAAGTCATAAATTGTCTGTTGTGTTTATCTCCCCTAGTAATAGGTCCGATTGATAGTTTTACACCTTTCTTGTTGCAGACAACTCTGCTCCTGGCAATCAGTCCATCTCCCCAAATATTACAACCACCACCAGTAGCACTACCAAAAAGTCTGACAGTTCCCCATCAGTGGCACCTTCATCATCATCATTATCACCATTGCGGCCATCCTCACTCTCGTCGGTGAGCATCACTGCAGCCGTCACAGCACCACTGCCCACCGCACTAGCTCGCTCTAGACATGCCTCTGTGACCTCATCAAAAGCTGCCACCACCACTGCTACCACCAAGGTGACCACAGGATCGAAACTCAAAGTCAGCGTTGCTCATCCTGCGCTACACGCATCGACAAACTTTGTCAAGCAGGAGACAACATTGCCATCAACACCACGGACCACCCATCTAGCACCTGCCACTGACATTGACTTGTTTACCAGCATGGCTGTCTCTGACTTGCCAGGAAATACTCACAGAATCTCCACCACACTCTCTTCTGGGCGGCAGTCGCCAGGAAAGAACTGCAAACTTTCACCGGACAGAATTGCTCTGGGCAGCAATAACGGACAGCCACAGTCGCCAGTCACATCCCTGCACTCACACATGGACCCAAGACATTTTGCCCCTCCCATGTCCCCGTTTTATCCCTTTTCAAGCAGCCCATTTCATCCTGCCTTTCTGCCCTTGAACATGGTGAAGTCCGAGGTCAGCTCTACGTCTGGTATCTTGGACACTGGCTATGTGGCCAAAACTGTCAGAGAATTGTTGAGCATCCACAACATCGGCCAGCGTTTGTTTGCCAAACATGTACTGGGGCTGAGCCAGGGGACAGTCAGTGAGCTCCTCTCCAAGCCAAAGTCGTGGGACAAGCTTACAGAGAAGGGAAGAGAGTCCTATCGAAAGATGCATGCTTGGGCCACTGACGATACAAACGTTATGGCGCTCAAGGCCATTTCGCCAAAGAAAGGTATGTAAACAGTTTATCATTTAGAGACGTGTTCAGATATAATTTTTTTTTTTTTAAATGTGTATTGTTGTTGTGTCCTAAAGAAAGAGAATGAGGGCTTTTGAGCTGAAATGCTATAGAAAGATTCTCAGAATATCTTGGACAAAGAAGAGGAGAATTTTTGACATCTTAAAAGATCTGAACATCAAGGAAGATTGGCTAATAAACAGCATCCTTTCTGAAAAACTGAAATATTTTGGTCATATCAAGCGCCTTGACGGATTGGAAAAAACTATAGCAGAAGGCATGGTACCAGGAAGGAGAGGCAGGGGCCGACCGACACAAAGATGGGCACAGGATATAAGTTACTCTTTGAGTATGAAAGTGCATAAGGTGGAAGAACTGGTGAGAGACTGAGTTTCTTTCAGGCAGACTGTGATGAGAGCAATGTTCTGCAAAGGACCTGCAACATGATGATGATGATTGTTGTTGTGAAAGTTGTCAGGTCTGGACCCTTCCTTTTTAATCTAGTAAGTTTGCTGTATTCAATTCAATCCAGTGATTATGAGAGCTGTCATCATAGCACTCTATAGTTGGTTAGTTCAGCCCATAAGCGTTTGGATCCCCTCCTTAGTAAATCCTGCAGCATGTGGCGTCTCACGACACCAGTTCTGTGTTGGTTTTTTTTTTCTTTTTTGGCTTCCTGCATAGTGCTCTTGTCTGGCCACACCCCTTTTAACACGTTGTTCACGCAGTCTGGTTGATGTTGCAGAAAGAAACTCATCACTTGGCCCTTGCAAGCATCTTATTTCTCGTAGAGCATTCAGAATATCAGCAGAGTCCATGGCTGGTCTGCCCTTGGAGGTAGCTTTACCTGCATCCCGCTCAACTAGCTCGATTCCACTCAAGTAAACCTGTGACTACAATTTATGATGTGATCATAATGCACTAATAATCCCAAAGTACCTCTACTGACTGTTCATATGGAAAGTTTATCGTAATTCTCTCCCAACTCACGTAGTTGGGTTAGCGTAAGAGATGTGAAATCCACCAAGCCTAGGCTGTATGGCATTAACCAGATTAATCATGTCCGTGCTTCTTTTTCTTTGTATTCCTCACCTGCCAGTTAGTCCGCTGGCTAATTGACTTTGACTCCGACATGGCTGCGTTTGTTGATCCAGGGGAGGGACACGACTTCCAGATACTGTATATCCATTCTTCTTCTTATTCTTCTTAGCATTCACTTTCAGTAAACACCAGCAGAAAGTTCTGGCTGTTCACACACCTCTGGACTTTATACTTGTTCTAGAACCTAAGTGTTGTATACACATCCATTTTACAGATCTGACTTATTTGTATGCAGTCTGTTGGTTCCGTTCACTATACCCATTCAGTGTATCCATTAGGTATACCCATTCACTATACCCATTCACTATACCCATTCACTATACCCATTCACTATACCCATTCAGTGTATCCATTAGGTATACCCATTCAGAGCAGAGACTGCCTGTTGAAATCATCTGAAGCACGTTCATGGAGTCAGATGTAATGTCCATATATGTGGCTGCTTCTTCTGCTGTTCAGCAGACTGCTTTGTGTTGACAATGTTTAACTGTCCCCACCCGTTCAGAAAGCAATGGCAAATTACTGAATGTAAAATTGCCCAATAAAACCATAGGACAGCCAGTAAATGTTTGTGTTGCTTTCTGAAGTCCTGTAAAGAAGATACAAACCACCACCACAGTTCCAACCCTTCCCCCAATGGAAAATACACATTGGTTCACCTGTAGAGAATACTTTACTGGGCATTCTGTGGGTAAAACTTTACTGGGCATTCTGTGGGTAAAACTTTACTGGGCATTCTGTGGGTAAAACTTTACTGGGCACTCTGTAGAGAATACTTTACTGGGCATTCTGTGGGTAATACTTTACTGGGCATTCTGTGGGTAATACTTTACTGGGCATTCTGTGGGTAATACTTTACTGGGCATTCTGTGGGTAAAACTTTACTGGGCACTCTGTAGAGAATACTTTACTGGGCATTCTGTGGGTAAAACTTTACTGGGCACTCTGTAGAGAATACTTTACTGGGCATTCTGCGGGTAAAACTTTACTGGGCACTCTGTAGAGAATACTTTACTGGGCATTCTGTGGGTAAAACTTTACTGGGCACTCTGTAGAGAATACTTTACTGGGCATTCTGTGGGTAATACTTTACTGGGCATTCTGTGGGTAATACTTTACTGGGCATTCTGTGGGTAATACTTTACTGGGCATTCTGTGGGTAATACTTTACTGGGCATTCATGGGGAATAGTTTACTGGGCATTCTGTGGGTAATACTTTACTTGCACTCTGTGGGTAATACTTTACTGGGAATTCTGTGGGTAATACTTTACTTGCACTCTGTGGGTAATACTTTACTGAGCACTCTTGGGGAATAGTTTACTGGGCACTCTGTGGGGAATACTTTACTGGACACTTTTATAAGGCACTGTATGGAAAATACTTTATTGGGCACTTTTTAAGGAGTAAATTATATGGCAACCGAGGAATACTGTATAAGACACACTTTAGGAAATACATAATATGGCTCTCTGGGGGAATACTTTATAGGGCACACTGTGGGGAATACTTTATAGAAATCGTATAGGCTATTCTTTATAGAAATCTTATAGGGGAATATGTTATAAAAACGAGCAAACAAACTTCATTCTCAGAGGGCATGCAGGCCTGACTAAAATTCTGCCCTTCTAGTCTCCCTCCTTTCAGACATCATTTCATGAATACATCAAGTAAAAGTAAACATTATCACTAGCATCAAAATATTCAGTACAGGCACTGGAATATGCACATTTCTAACTACAGTAAACTGTAGTGATTGTAATAAATCTAGGGGGAATATGCGCTATTTCTGCAATACTTCTTATCTTTTATGGGGTCATGTAATATAAGATAATATTTGAACAGTTTCTAATTAAATGAATAGGGACTAGTGGCATTTTTTGTTTGTTGTAGAAGTTGGTTCCACAGCCGAGCTGCAGAGTATGTTAAACTTGTTTTATATAGGTCTTTCCTAGATTTCGGGATATGTAATATGTTTAGGCGTTTGCAATGCCTTCTGTTATATTTAAACAACGGCCATAAGTAACATGGAGTCTTTTGGGATATTTAAAAAATAAATTTAGCCTTGTTTAAAAGTAAATGTTCACGGATCGGTAGTAGCATAAGAGCTTTATATATTTTGGAACTGACTACCCCATGGAAATACTTTATAGAATACCCACAGGGAGTACTTTACAGACACCATGTGGGAGAGTGCTTCTATAAAACATACCTTTTCTGTGGTTCTGTACCCATGCCTTGTATGTTAATTTGTAAAGCAAAATGAAAATGTTGGTTGCCTATCTCTCTTACAGGTACCCACCCAATTTCCGCCAATAATTCATACAAGGAGAAAGAAGACTCGGCCACAGAGGAGCGCATTGCCAGTATTCTCAGCGAGGCTCAGATGGCGATGAATATGAAGAAAAACGTTGAGCAGGTATGTGCCCACAACTGGTGAGAATATGCTTGTCCTCACCGTTTCTTCTCATCTGTTATGCTGTTTTATGTTCATCTATTTATTGTTGCAGGAATCTTTCGGGACAGTAATCTAGTCCCTGTTCAATCTTATCTGTTCCATACCCTCTGTTTTATGTTCATCTGTTTATTGTTAGAGCTATCTTTCTGGACAGTAATCTATCACTATTGTCTGTTCTATCATCTCTCATGTTCTGTGTTCATCTGTTTATTGTTACAGCTATCTTTCTGGACAGTAATTTATCACTATTGTCTGTTCTATCATCTCTCATGTTCTGTGTTCATCTGTTTATTGTTACAGGTATCTTTGAGGACAGTAATGTAGTCCCAGTTCATTCTGGTCTGTTCCATTCTCCCTTTCATCTGTCTAGTGTTCCTTTCATCTATTCCTTTGTTCCTCTCATCTGTTCATTAGTCTTTCTCCCTCTGTTCACTGTCATATTTGTTCTGTATTATTGTTCACCAAATCTGCCTTGCTAGCATGTTTTCTGACCGTAATCTAGTCCCTGATACTATCTTGTATTTCTCTTCTGCTTCTCTTCTTTTCAATGTTCCCTTTTGTCTGTTAAGGTTCCCTCTTAGTTATTAAATGTTCCCTCTTATATATATTGCATGCATACTCTCATGTACCTTTTTTTTTATTTTTTTTTATTCACCACCCCCCCCCCCCCCCCCCCCCCATTCTCATCTACACAAATGTCTTTATTGTGTATTCCTTTTTCCCTCTCATCTGTACTTATTTTCTTCTTGTCTATTCTCTTTCCCCCATCATCTCTGTGTACACATTTCCTTCTTGTCTATTCTCTTCTCCCCATCATCTCTGTACACATTTCCTTCTTGTCTATTCTCTTTCCCCCATCATCTCTGTACACATTTCCTTCTTGTCTATTCTCTTTTCCCCATCATCTCTGTACACATTTCCTTCTTGTCTATTCTCTTTTCCCCATCATCTCTCTGTACACATTTCCTTCTTGTCTATTCTCTTTTCCCCATCATCTCTCTGTACACATTTCCTTCTTGTCTATTCTCTTTTCCCCATCATCTCTCTGTACACATTTCCTTCTTGTCTATTCTCTTTTCCCCATCATCTCTCTGTACACATTTCCTTCTTGTCTGTTCTCTTTTCCCCCTCATCTGTACACATTTCCTTCTTGTCTATTCTCTTCTCCCCATCATTTCTGTACACATTTCCTTCTTGTCTGTTCTCTTTTCCCCATCATCTCTGTACACATTTCCTTCTTGTCTATTCTCTTTTCCCCCATGATCTCTGTACTTATTTCCTTCTTGTCTGTTCTCTTTTCCCCATTATCTCTGTACACATTTCCTTCTTGTCTATTCTCTTTTCCCCATCATCTCTGTACACATTTCCTTCTTGTCTATTCTCTTTCCCCCATCATCTCTGTACACATTTCCTTCTTGTCTATTCTCTTTTCCCCATCATCTCTCTGTACACATGTCCTTCTTGTCTATTCTCTTCTCCCCATCATCTCTCTGTACACATTTCCTTCTTGTCTATTCTCTTTCCCCCATCATCTCTGTACACATTTCCTTCTTGTCTATTCTCTTTCCCCCATCATCTCTGTACACATTTCCTTCTTGTCTATTCTCTTTCCCCCATCATCTCTGTACACATTTCCTTCTTGTCTATTCTCTTTCCCCCATCATTTCTGTACACATTTCCTTCTTGTCTATTCTCTTTCCCCCATCATCTCTGTACACATTTCCTTCTTGTCTATTCTATTTCCTCCATCATCTCTGTACACATTTCCTTCTTGTCTATTCTCTTTCCCCCATCATCTCTGTGTACACATTTCCTTCTTGTCTATTCTCTTTCCCCCATCATCTCTGTGTACACATTTCCTTCTTGTCTATTCTCTTTTCCCCATCATCTCTGTGTACACATTTCCTTCTTGTCTATTCTCTTTCCCCCATCATCTCTGTGTACACATTTCCTTCTTGTCTGTTCTCTTTTCCCCATCATCTCTGTACACATTTCCTTCTTGTCTATTCTCTTTCCCCCATCATCTCTGTACACATTTCCTTCTTGTCTATTCTCTTTTCCCCATGATCTCTGTACACATTTCCTTCTTGTCTGTTCTCTTTTCCCCATAATCTCTGTACACATTTCCTTCTTGTCTATTCTCTTTCCCCCATCATCTCTGTACACATTTCCTTCTTGTCTATTCTCTTTTCCCCATGATCTCTGTACACATTTCCTTCTTGTCTATTCTCTTTTCCCCATCATCTCTGTACACATTTCCTTCTTGTCTATTCTCTTTTCCCCATGATCTCTGTATACATTTCCTTCTTGTCTATTCTCTTTTCCCCATGATCTCTGTACTTATTTCCTTCTTGTCTGTTCTCTTTTCCCCATTATCTCTGTACACATTTCCTTCTTGTCTATTCTCTTTTCCCCATCATCTCTGTACACATTTCCTTCTTGTCTATTCTCTTTTCCCCCATCATCTCTCTGTACACATTTCCTTCTTGTCTATTCTCTTTTCCCCATCATCTCTCTGTACACATTTCCTTCTTGTCTATTCTCTTCTCCCCATCATCTCTCTGTACACATTTCCTTCTTGTCTGTTCTCTTTTCCCCCTCATCTGTACACATTTCCTTCTTGTCTATTCTCTTCTCCCCATCATTTCTGTACACATTTCCTTCTGTTCTGTTCTCTTTTCCCCATCATCTCTGTACACATTTCCTTCTTGTCTATTCTCTTTTCCCCATCATCTCTCTGTACACATTTCCTTCTTGTCTATTCTCTTCTCCCCATCATCTCTCTGTACACATTTCCTTCTTGTCTATTCTCTTTCCCCCATCATCTCTATACACATTTCCTTCTTGTCTATTCTCTTTCCCCCATCATCTCTGTACACATTTCCTTCTTGTCTATTCTCTTTTCCCCATGATCTCTGTACACATTTCCTTATTGTCTATTCTCTTTTCCCCATCATCTCTGTACACATTTCCTTCTTGTCTATTCTCTTTTCCCCATGATCTCTGTACACATTTCCTTCTTGTCTATTCTTTTTTCCCCATCATCTCTGTACACATTTCCTTCTTGTCTATTCTCTTTTCCCCATCATTTTTGTACACATTTCCTTCTTGTCTATTCTCTTTTCCCCATGATCTCTGTATACATTTCCTTCTTGTCTATTCTCTTTTCCCCATGATCTCTGTACTTATTTCCTTCTTGTCTGTTCTCTTTTCCCCATTATCTCTGTACACATTTCCTTCTTGTCTATTCTCTTTTCCCCATCATCTCTGTACACATTTCCTTCTTGTCTATTCTCTTTTCCCCCATCATCTCTCTGTACACATTTCCTTCTTGTCTATTCTCTTTTCCCCATCATCTCTCTGTACACATTTCCTTCTTGTCTATTCTCTTCTCCCCATCATCTCTCTGTACACATTTCCTTCTTGTCTGTTCTCTTTTCCCCCTCATCTGTACACATTTCCTTCTTGTCTATTCTCTTCTCCCCATCATTTCTGTACACATTTCCTTCTTGTCTGTTCTCTTTTCCCCATCATCTCTGTACACATTTCCTTCTTGTCTATTCTCTTTTCCCCATCATCTCTCTGTACACATTTCCTTCTTGTCTATTCTCTTCTCCCCATCATCTCTCTGTACACATTTCCTTCTTGTCTATTCTCTTTCCCCCATCATCTCTATACACATTTCCTTCTTGTCTATTCTCTTTCCCCCATCATCTCTGTACACATTTCCTTCTTGTCTATTCTCTTTTCCCCATGATCTCTGTACACATTTCCTTCTTGTCTATTCTCTTTTCCCCATCATCTCTGTACACATTTCCTTCTTGTCTATTCTCTTTTCCCCATCATTTCTGTACACATTTCCTTCTTGTCTGTTCTCTTAACCCCATCATTTCTGTACACATTTCCTTCTTGTCTATTCTCTTTTCCCCATCATTTCTGTACACATTACCTTCTTGTCTGTTCTCTTTTTCCCATCATTTCTGTACACATGTCCTTGTCTGTTCTCTTTTCCCCATGATCTATGTACGCATTTCTTTTTTTGACTATTCCCTTTTCCCCATTCATCTGTACAAATTTCATTCCCCCCCCCCCCCCCCCCCCCATCTATAGAAAATTCCTTCTGGTCTGTTCTCCTTTCCCTCTTATATTTATAAATATTCTTTTGTCTAGTCTTTTTTACCTATCTGTTCCCTTTTGTCTCTCATTTATTCACTTTTCGCTCTCTTTCAAATTTCCTTCTCGTTTTTCCCTTTTCCTTTGAGCTGTTCTCCTTTGCCTCACATCCGTTTCCTTTTCTTTCTCATTTATTCAAATGAAATCTTGTCTGTTCACTTCCCTTCTCATCTGAAAAAATTTCCTTCTCATCTACTGCCCACTTCCTTTTCTATGTTCCCTGTCTGCTCCTTATCTCTGTGTGTAACTCATGGTTATTGTTGTCTTTCTACAGCTACATCCCTGTCTGCTCCTTATCTCTCTGTGTAACTCATGGCTATTGTTGTCTTTCTATAGCTACATCCCTGTCTGCTCCTTATCTCTGTGTCTAACTCATGGTTATTGTTGTCTTTCTACAGCTACATCCCTGTCTGCTCCTTATCTCTGTGTCTGACTCATGGTTATTGTTGTCTGTCTATAGCTACATCCCTGTCTGCTCCTTATCTCTCTGTGTAACTCATGGCTATTGTTGTCTTTCTACAGCTACATCCCTGTCTGCTCCTTATCTCTCTGTGTAACTCATGGCTATTGTTGTCTTTCTATAGCTACATCCCTGTCTGCTCCTTATCTCTCTGTGTAACTCATGGCTATTGTTGTCTTTCTATAGCTACATCCCTGTCTGCTCCTTATCTCTGTGTCTAACTCATGGCTATTGTTGTCTGTCTATAGCTACATCCCTGTCTGCTCCTTATCTCTGTGTGTAACTCATGGTTATTGTTGTCTTTCTACAGCTACAAGTCTCCAGTGCTGTTGTATCCAGCATCTACCATAATGAACTCAACAAAATAAGGACTCCATCACCTGCCCTACCTGTCATGTCGCCCACAATATATCCAGCCTTAACTCCGCCTACTGCGCCACATTATGCCCAGGAACATTCTAGGAAAATACGAGACAGTGAGTCACGCCATCATTCAAACTCATCGTCCCAAAGTGAGGCTGCGTCTGCTCAAGAAATGGTCACCAGAATTTACAGGCAGGAGCTGGAGAAATTGAAGAAAGCTGCAGATGCAGCCGGAAACATTGCAGCTAGTTCCATGTATGCACAGGAACTTGATCGCCTTAACCTAGCACAAAATTCCACCTTGCCTCTCAGTTCCTCTTCTTCCAGAACTCATCACTCATTTCTGTCACCATTGCCTGAAGTAGACTGCCCCCAGCCATCACCTCTAGCGCTGGTCTGTCGATCAACACGACCAAATGGCCTTAAACTGAAAACAGAACCCCCGGATAGTACGTCAGATGAGACTGCCTCCCATATGAACGACTGTGGAGCTATTGACCTCAGCAAGCCTTCGCCTCAGACAAGTACCACCCCAAGCTCATCTCCCACCAGTGAATCAACTCCTCATACTGGAAGTGCCTTTTTCTCAGTGCATCCACGACACAATGGCCAAGACTCTCGGACTTCAGAAAGTCCCCAAGCTGCCACTCAAAAACAGCATCAGGGGTCTACAGGAGGCTCCACTTTTGGCTCGACACCCCCAACAGAATGTTTGTCTCCCTTGCAACGAATGCAAAACATCGCCAATTCATTTGCCTCTCGCCCCCATATGGGCTTGCCCAATGCTAAGCCTCTACGTGCCGTACTTCCCCCGATCACCCAGGAAGAGTTTGACCGCTATGCAAACATGAACACTGATGACTTAGTCAAAAAAGTCAAAGAGACCCTGTCCCAGTACTCGATCAGCCAAAGACTGTTTGGTGAAAGTGTCCTAGGACTCTCACAAGGGTCAGTGTCAGACCTCCTGGCTAGACCAAAACCTTGGCATATGCTCACACAGAAAGGAAGGGAGCCCTTTATCCGTATGCAGATATTTCTAGAAGATGCAGATTCTATCCCGAAGCTGGTGGCCTCGCAGTATCGTGTACCGCCGGATAAGCTGATAAGATCGAACTCCAGGGGATCAAATGAACCAGGTAGGCACACACTTTGGTTTCACATTATTCTCTGTCCATTTGTTTGTTTTATAATTAAGAAGTCTTCTCCCTTTGCCCTTAAAAGTTTGGTTGGCTGGTTCAATTTTGGTTCACATTGAAGCTGCCATGTCCGCACAATTCTGCCTTTCAGTGGATGTTTCACCATTCAGTTAATTTTGCTCCCAGGGAGACCCAGCCTAATGTTGGTACCAGGAAATGTCCTGGGAAATAAAGGCCACATCACCCATCGAGTGTCAGCACTACATCGGCCATACACTCAGAATTGATGACACAAGACATCCCCCTTCAAGCTCTCTTATGGACACCGGAAGGAAAAAGAAAATGGGAAGACCAAGAGAGACTGCGTAGAACCATCATCAGGGAAAGCTCAACCATGGGCCTGACAAACATCCAAGACCTGAAGCAGGTGGCAACGCTCCACCAGACATGGGGAGCTATGACCTGTGACCCTATGCACTGCCCTAGGCTCAAAATGAAAGACTGTTTAACTAAATGTCTGACTATGTATGCCTGATGTATTACTTCTGTAAAAAAGATCATTTTAATTTGTTTATTTGATTCTGGTAGATAGTCAGTAGCTGAGTATTTCACCTTGACTGCAAGTGGGTTAATCCCTTATTGCTCCATTCTTGTGTCAGTAAACATCACACTGCCTCTCACTATCCAGTTTCAAAACTAAGAACGAACAACTAGTCCTGGCACAATGCAGGCACATGCACTTGTTGTGTGTAGGAATGGTTATTTTCATTTTTTGACTAAACGTATGAAGTCAAAACATACACACCAAGTTCATTGGTGTATACATCAGGACTATTCGGCCAAGGTTTAATCAGGGCCCAACATTTTGAAAATGTGGATTATCACTGGCCAGAAGCCGGAGCACAAGTTCAGAAAGCTCATTAATGCAATACAATTGGCAGGGATCTACAGGCCACTTGCTAGCTTGTGTGGGCCAGGTTTGGCCCGCTGGCTGCTAGTTGAATAGCCCTGGTGTACCTCGAAGGTATCATGTTGACATGTAGGTGTTCTGCTTCTGCAGGGTGCAGATTCACAACCTCTTTTCGTCCGGTCTAAAGTGGAGAATTAGGCATGGCAGAATGTTAAGCTTCAAAGTTATTTTGTTCTGACAGCACTTTGCTAATGCAGTTTCCTCTTATAAATGGTACTGTACTGGTTCGCGACCTGAGCTGCTGGTGCATGGTGCAGTCCTGTGAGCTGTGTTTTTCCCGTGGAATGCCTTTCATTTGTGCAGTTGTTGAGTCGTGGTATTGTAGTACTGCCAGTAGTGGGTTTACATGTGAGCTGGTGAAATGCCTTATGTAATAATTCTATGTGCGTATAGCCAGCTTATCGTGCCCGACTACTTCCATCAAGAAACTGCATTTCTGGGTTGACTGTTGGCTTTGGCGCCTCTAGAAACTGCCAAATACATTTACTGCACACACATATTTCTGGATTGTTCTGAGACTAATTGTTTGTTCACCAGTTTTATAAATGTGACAGTGAGGGGCCTTTTGTTTGATTTTCACTGGCACAGGAACGGAGCAAGTACGGGGAAAACCGATTGTAGTGAAGTTGAAACCTTGACTAAAGCTTAGACTAACCTCTTTCAGGAAACAAATATATCCTCAGTTGTCCTCATAGAATCAGATGTCAAACCAAACCTATAATATCTAGACACATGTGTTGTGTTAGTCAGCAGTTAGTTTGCTTATATTTTTGCAACTTGGCATGGTTGTGTAGAGCAGATAGCAATTTTTTTTATTTGTATCTATCTTTTAAAGTTTGATATTTTTAGATAATAGATGTTTGCCATTGTAGTAGTTAGTGTGCAGTCGTGTTCTGGGGCAGCTTCTGAAGCTGTTGTGCATTAGTAGACGGGGAGAATAGGAGACATGTTTCACAAACTGGCTGACAGCTAAGTCAGAAACAAACAAAACAAATGTAGATAAAAGTAAAGAGCTAAGTCAGAAACAAACAAAACAAATGTAGATAAAAGTAAAGAGCTAAGTCAGAAACAAACAAAACAAATGTAGATAAAAGTAAAGAGCTAAGTCAGAAACAAACAAAACAAATGTAGATAAAAGTAAAGAGCTAAGTCAGAAACAAACAAAACAAATGTAGATAAAAGTAAAGAGCTAAGTCAGAAACAAACAAAACAAATGTAGATAAAAGTAAAGAGCTAAGTCAGAAACAAATAAAACAAATGTAGATAAAAGTAAAGAGCTAAGTCAGAAACAAATAAAACAAATGTAGATAAAAGTAAATTTTGTTTCATCTCTAAATTGTTGGCTGCAACACACTAAATAGCTGGCCACATAAATCTAATCCTGGTATGTCGAGGATTGGATTGTGAAACAGTTTCACTAATCTTACATCTATAGAGCTGCTTACGTGTGGATAACTTTTCATGTATTAAATCCAGTGTTATAGACATAAGAGTCTTTAGCTAATGTGATATCTGCTACTTAGAGATCAGAAGCTCTAACATTCCTGGCTGGAGTGTTGTTTCTGAGATTCCAGGGCTGCAATAACATCCATTTGATTTTTTTGTTTATACAACTGACATGGCCTGTAGTTGCAGTGTTTCATTGACTGAGTAGCATTGAAGCACCAGAATCATGTCTTTGCTATCAGATTGATGGACTGCCAGAAAATTCTGCAAACAACAGGCTGAAAAATATGGTTTTAGAAAATTGTTTGTTTCTTGTAACTGCTTGTTTATGGCAGAGAGGGTCGGATGTCTGCCACAGACTCCAGGAGATATTGGTTCTAGAAAATCATTACTTGATTCTTGTAACTGCTTGTTTCTGGCTGAGAGGGTCGGATGTCTGCCACAGACTCCAGAAGACATTGGTTCTAAAAAATCATTACTTGATTCTTGTAACTGCTTGTTTCTGGCTGAGATGGTCAGATGTCTGCCACAGACTCCAGAAAACATTGGTTCTAGAAAATCATTACTTGATTCTTGTAACTGCTTGTTTCTGGCTGAGAGGGTCAGATGTCTGCCACAGACTCCAGAAAACATTGGTTCTAGAAAATCATTACTTGATTCTTGTAACTGCTTGTTTCTGGTTGAGAAGTTTGGGTGTCTGGCTCCAGAAAATGTCATGTTTGCTGCCGCCTGACACTGTTACAAGAACTTGATATTTTATTAGTATCATGTGTACCAATATCAGCTGAGAATACTGAGGTTCATCCATGACCAAGAGAGAAATGAGACAGCAGACAGATTGTGGAAACAACACCTATGCCAGATTCATTAAATAGAAGAAAAAAAAAAAGATGAAATGGGTTGGTTATTTAAATGATTCTGCAGCCACAGCTGCCAGCACAGCTGCCAGCACAGCTGCCAGCACAGTTGCCAGCACAGCTGCCAGCACAGTTGCTACACGTTAAACAGTATCTGACATCAGAGTAAAGGCACATCCAAGCAAGAAATACAAGAATGTATCACCTCCATCAGCTGATCTTGTGAAAGCACGAAATATAAGAATAGAAAGGTTTCAGTATGTATGTTAATAGACACTGTTGGATGATACCAAAATGAAGGAAACATGTTCACCTTTGCCAGTCAGCCGGACATTTGGTGATTCTGACTCTCATTATAACATTACCATACATCTTCATTTAACTCAGCTGCAGGCCCTAAGGTGGTGGGTTCAAATCCCCATTGAGGCAGATATTTTTCAGGGTTGACCTTGGCTCCCACATTGACCCTGCCTGAAATGGCTACCAGATGATGTCCTGGGAAGTCAAGGTGGCCGGCGGGATGTTGACCACATTACCCACAGAGTGCTGATTGGGCTGTACAAATATGTGCCTGATGTGGCACTGGTATCAAAAGGGTTCTTCACCTTACTTGCTATACTCCCCCCCCTCCCCCCATTTAACACATAATTCATACAATAAATTGTTTGTTCTGTAACTTGCACTCAAGAAGACCACAGTTGGCTGTTCAACTTTTTTGACTACACCGAGCTACTTAGTACGTTCTCTTTTTCTTTTGTTGTTTGTTTTCCATTTTTTTTTACCTGTGTTGTGTTTAGAAGCTTATGTGTTGTGTGGAATCGGCACTTTGTGAAGTATACATCATTGTATTACATTTTGTAGTTATTCGCATTATCTTTGTTAACCTTTGTCAGCCATGTCTTCTTCTTCTTCTTTTGTAAATATCTTTTTATGGCCCTAGGCGTCGCAGTTCATCAGACGATCAGCAGCTGAGCCAGGGCGCTCTCAATAGCTTGATGTGCTTGATGTTATGCGGTCTCAAGGTGTCAGTGATTCCTTCAATCCATCTTCTTCTCGGTCGTCCCCTGCCTCTTGTTGTTTCAATTTTCAGATTGTACGCTGTTGCTGCTGGCATCGTTACTTTCATTCTCATTAGATGGCTAAACCATTTCATTCTTTAAACCATGTTTTTGTTTTATGAAAAGTTATTTTTATTATAGTGTTTGTTGGCACATTTCTGTCTTTCTAGATGATAATGTTCCATTGTTGGCACCATTTCTGTCTTTCTAGATGATAATGTTCCATTGTGCTGTATGAAGGCATGGGAATCATAGTCCATGGCAATACCAGTTAATCCTGCTGCCCAAAGAAGACTAAATCTAGTCACTTCTGATTGTTTCACAGTCCCATAAATACCAGTATATCCCCGTGTCTGCAGTGACCTGTTGTTGTTTTCTTTGTTTGTTTTTTCGAAGTTTTAAAGGAGATAGTTCTAAAAAATGTTATACTGGGTGGAGATAGTTCTGAAGAATATTATAGTGGGTGGAGATAGTTCTGAAGAATGTTATAGTGGGTGGAGATAGTTCTGAAGAATGTTTTAATGGGTGGAGATAGTTCTGAAGAATGTTATAGTGGGTGGAGATAGTTCTGAAGAATGTTTTAATGGGTGGAGATAGTTCTGAAGAATGTTATAATGGGTGGAGATAGTTCTAAAAATGTTATAGTGGGTGGAGATAGTTCTGAAGAATGTTATAATGGGTGGAG